GATAGATAGATAGATAGATAGATAGATAGATAGATAGATAGATAGATAGATAGATAGATAGATAGATAGATAGATAGATAGATAGATAGATAGATAGATAGATAGATAGATAGGTAGGTAGGTAGGTAGGTAGATAGAAGGAAGGATTGATGAACGGATAGATTTACGGATGGATGGATGGACGTATAGATGTATAGAATGATTGATTGAGGAATTGATGTTAAACAGAACCTTTCCTCGAATAGTTTGGAAAAGATAGCTTTTATTCATTAATAGGTATATAAAAATTAGTGTATGTATGTATGTCCAGTATGCGCTAACATACCAATCATCCGATACCGTTATAACTTTTAGGATTTTTTGTGCATACGCCCGTAAATTTTTAAGCATGATTTGACTCATTTTACAATATTCCGTTTGGGCCTAAGGCCCTAAATTCTTTTTTTTTTATCTGTTATACTGTCATGAGCTAAATATAATTTCCGTATGTTTGTCTATGACATTCATTGATTTCGACAAAATGTTGGTAAATTGTAGTGCAACAGCCGACAATTTTACTTTTTCTTATGGTAGCTTTACATATATAATTTCAATGAGCTACTCTAATGGTGGATAGAATTCAATTAAATACAAGGACATTTCAGTTTATATGACATAATAATTAAGTTTCTGAATTAGTACAACCATTTTACAATTTGTTGTTTAGGGCTGGGGGGCCTTTTTATTATATATCATGGGTGGATCAGTCGCTACAAAATTAAAGACCAACTTTTAAAAAGCCATGATTCTTACATGGAAAGCTGTATGTTGCCGGCTCACGCGTTGTAAAACCTTTTAATTTATTTGTCTCTATACCTGAAGGAAATAACAAAAACAAGTTTCTATTTAAAAATTACTTTAAAAACCTATTTAAAACAAAAACACGTATTTCTTTGAGTTCCAGTGCAATGGATGCCGCATTCTCGCAAGTTATTAATAAGGACCATAATTAATGAATTAAAAAAAATTATTAATTTACATCTGTATCGTTTACATTTCAATTTTGTTTTGTAAAAATAAGTAAAACGTTAGTTCTTAAATGCATACTATATTTAGTTATATTAACCATATTATTCTTTAAAGACTTAATTTTATATCAAAATGCAAAGCGCTGTCTTTGGATTACCTTTTATTTTTGGTTTTGAAGATGTCGCACTAAAGCTAATACCTTTAGAATTTACACCAGAATGTGGTAGGCTATTTAGCAACACTAATTTAGAGTCTCTAAATGTACAAGTGTCGTTCATCAGCAACATATGGGCACTACTACTTCCTGGAAATATAGTAGCATTGTATTCGAAAGCGGTTAAGGGAAGTAACTCATCTTTTATATTAAGTAATTCGCTACATTTTCCAAAACTGATGTGTTTAGGTTTGCCATTTGGATGAGATATGATCACAACGACTGGTTCAAGGCTTCTTGTAAGTTCTCTATACAATAGGCTGGAGCTTTCTAAATTTGCCTTTATTTCATTGGCTAACTGTTCATCACACGTGACACATTCAAGTACACAAGAGTCACCAATGTCAATGCGGTCAGAAAGAGAGACTCCATACAATTTTTTAATACATTTTCTGTCATCGTCGTTGTAATTTAATTCAACTGTCATTTTCTTTGCTTCCTCGTCATCATAAACAACATGCGTGGCTGTTGCAATGTAAACTGAAAATGTTTTGATTATTTCTGTATCATATTTCTTTGCCATTTTCTTACATTTAATACATCGACATGGATGATTTGATAGATTTACGTCATACACAATGCAACCAGTTCCAGTAAATATATGTTCTGTTCCCCCATGTTCAAATAATTTTCTATACAGTTCTGGTCGGTTATTGCTGACAAATTTTACTTCTAACAGTGCTGTAAGTAGTGCTATTGCATCTATATACTTTAATGTTGTTTCAGTGGGAGTAAGTTTAGCTTCTTTACAATAAAGTTCTGGATCTGTTTGAAAGTCTTTTCATGGAATACATCCTTTATGACCTTGTTGTTTTTGACAATTTGACCATTCCATTTTAATACTGGCCTCGCTCATCTCGGCCATTTCTTGATATTCTGAATTTTCTGAATTAAAAGTATAACAACTAATATAATATAAACTTATATTTAAAGGGCTATGACACATATTTTATGGAATAGACAAAATAAAATATTAACGATATTGTATCTGCAGGGATGTTTTGATACTATTGCGTCATGCACTACACAAGCAGTTCCAGTAAATACGTGTTCTGTTCCTCTAGGTTCAAATAATTTTCTATACATTTCTGGTCGGTTGCTGCTGACAAATTTTACTTCTAATCGCGCTGTAATTTTTGCCATTGTCTCTATGTACTTTAAAGTTGTTTTAGTAGGGGTAAGCTTAGCTTCTTTTAGCTTTTTAACAATAACGCTCTGGATCTGATTGAAATTCCTTTAATGGAATAAATCCTTGGTGCCCATGTTGTTTTTGACAATTTGACCATTCCACTTAAATACTAGCCTTGCTCATCTCCGCCAATTCTTGATATTCTGTATTTTCTGAAGTAAAAGTATAACAACTAATATAATATAAACATTTTTTTAAATGCGAAAACAAATATTTGATGGAAAAAAAAAAAAAAAAATATTTGCGATGTTGTATGTGAATGTATGATTAACGAAAAAGCACAGAACACATTTGTTTGGCTGATAGACTTCATTGACCATCACAACAGATACTTCGACGAGTGCCTCACTAGGCCAATCCTAGATTGAAAATCTTGGAAGCATATCTTGCAAGAGAATTGTGATTCCTTGTAAGATCTCGATTTCAGTATTGTTCACAACATTAAATAATAAAATAATGCAATAAGAACTTTTAATAGAACAGTCTTTACTATTGAGTCACCTATATACGAAATAATGTTTTAAAAGTAAAAACATTTTATTATATTTTTTTTAAAAGTATTTTTAAATGCGTACCATATTTTAGTTTCGAATCCTCAAAATTTCGTCGTATATTGAAACTTCTGTTAGCTGATAAAATTTGCAGAAAAAATAGTCAAAGTTGTTTTTAATGTAACATCCAGATAATGGGGCCCTAAGTTAAGATGTCTTTATAACGCTAATTATAAAACTTCGGGGAGTATTAATTTTTCTTAATCATTCCGTGAACTTGTTATTTATTTTGATATGTTTAAACTATGAGTATTTTATTTTATATATGTATGTATAATTATAAATATATATATATATATATATATATATACATATATTATATATATATTTAAATATATATATATATATTCAACATACAATATGTATGTATATATTGAAATTAAAATAGCCAAGGACTTTTCTTTGGGTAATTGTATATTAAAAGTATATTGTTATCAAATGCAGACATTTCATATTAAATTTTTAGTATTACTCAGATTTGCAATCTACTATTTAATCTCTCCAATTCATAGTTTGTATCACATTTTTTTTTTAAAGAAAAAGCTCGTGTACATTTTTTTTAAATTGTAATACTCTATCCAAATTTATAATTCTTCAAATGATGTTACCTTCATTTAATTGTGGAAGTGTATACTACGTGGCTTTTATTTACTAGTACTGGTAAGGAGATTTAAATCTATTAAAACAAAATATAAATTCAAACATGTAATGTAATATATATATATAAACACATGCATACTTTTTAATTTAGCTATATCCATTTGCAAACCTTAAGTAGCGAAGCGTGTGGCACCTCGTTTTGCATTTTTTTTTTTTTTGTGGTGTAAAACTCTTAATTTGTATTAATTGTTAAATAGATTCTAACATTTGAATAGGTTTTATCTATATGAAAAAACACAACTTTACAAAATTATATCATAATTATTGCGCCTTCTTGACTTTAGAATACTGGAAGTTTAGCTTGAGTTATTGAACAAAACAGAAAGTTCATAGAAATTTAGTAAACCTTACAGCTATGCAACTTTATTATGGCTACAAAATCACGTGTTTATCTGTGCGCCAAAAGAAAACCTAATTTTAGACAGCTCTACAATTTCACTGACTTACTCAAATCGAGTAGTTCTAAATTATTTATTAAATTTGATACGGTCATATTGCTGGAATAGCCAATAAAGCCATTATAATTTCATTATTTATTGTCTTGTAATTTATTTAGTTAATTTAATAGACTCCAAAGTGTTTACCGATGGATAAAAAAGTGACATTTACTAACGTATTGAAGATGTCGTGCTGTTAAAAAATGTGTGCTGTTTTTAAATGACCGGTATAACAGATCTGAAAAGGCCCAATATTTTTGGTTCTTTAAATGGCCAGTATATCAAAATCTTTCAATGACGATTCCATCGTCCAAATTTTAAATGATCAGTATATTTTAATCTATAAATGACAAGGTTGGAGGCGGTCCAGCGACGAGCAGCACGCTTTGTCCTAAACCGCTAGTGTTGGCAGCATGCTAGAAACACTAGGCTGGTCACCATTGGAGAAACGACGACGACAATCAAGGCTCTCCATGATGTACAAGATAAATAATGGGCTGGTCCACTGTTCCAGTATTAAACAGAAACTCGTCTCTCTCCCCCATAGACAGCGACGAGGCCATGACAGGCAATTCAGGCTCATACCAGCAAGAAGCCAGTATAGGAGCTGCTCATTCCTGCCCAAGACAATCAGGGACTGGAACCATCTTTCAAAAGGAACAGTTGAGGCGACAACACTAGACACATTTGTGTCTATTGCCTCAAGCCTTCAAATCCCTAAAGCATAATTTCCTCATCACCACCAGTAACAGAAACATTGCAAATCCCATCTACATGCATAGGAGCCAAAATGATCAATAAATTGATCGTGGGCCCTTAAGATATAGAAGAAGAAGAAGACAAGTATATCCAAATGCGTGCTTTATTAATTTTTATGGTTCGGGCATCAACAATGAGGTAACGTTATAATTGGCTCAGAAAAAAAAATAGTTTTGATCATGATTCAACGCCGATTAAAGAGTTCGGTTACTTTGTAAGCTATATTTATTTAAATTCTGAGAAATAAAACTTTCTATTTACACGAAACACCGTAAGTTCAGGCGATCCAAAGTACATGAATTGAATTATTAAAAATTAAAATAATTTAGTAAGGCTGTTTACCCATTAATAAACTTAAAAGTAATATTTCCAACAATTTTCCAATTTTAATAACATTGAATTTTATCTCTTCGTTAACAAAGAGAATACTAGAGATATTGGATCCAAGATGTGTGAAATGCTCAACAACCGACAGATATGTCCCTAAATAGATCTCATTTGATGGGACAGGTATCATGGCAAAAATTTTCGGGACTATTAATTGATTAGGGGAAAATGCATCGAAATGTTTTAAATATATTTATTGGTAATAGTATTCCGTTTATGTTACAGTAAAACCTAACATATTTTCCATCGTCTTAAAATTGCATAATTATATACACTTTATTCTCACTACTGTATCTACCGAGATTATGAAACATAAGATTTAAAAATCGTTTCATCAATTTCCTCTTTCAATTAAAAGAAGAAAAAGATTAACTAATTGACGATTGCTTCATGGCTAAAGTGGCTCTGCTACAATTTTTAAAACGAGCAAGTCTAACTACTTGTTGAAGATACAATTTTTATACTCGTGCGTATAAAAAGACCACTGTGAAGAGTTAGTCAGATGGGACTACATCACGAAACGGGACTACGCATGGATCGGATTAAGAATAGGATTAAGGTCCCAGTGGCATCGGGTTGCAATTGGATCGGGAGTCAGCCCAGGATTGTTTCCTAGGGCAATCCCGGGAACCACCGGTATGTCGGCTAGTAACATTTATAAATGTACATGCTCCCAACAAGATACGGAAGATGAGGTAAAAAAAAATCCATTCAAGAGACACTGTAAAAGATCTGCGAAGAATTCCACGACAAGAGTCTCAAACACTAATTTAATATCAAATGCAAAAAAAAACGAAACAAAATAAAAGTGTTGGTGTCAAGTATTGGCAAGAAAAGTATGCATGACGATGCCATTGAAAATAGGATCCAACTCATAGACTATGCCTTAGGAAAAGGAATGTCTGTTAGCAGCACCAAGTTTCCACACAAAAATATACTACATGATTTTTGGAACTCACCAGATGGAATCACCCACAGCCAATTTACCATTTTCTAATCAATAGGAGGAATGAATAATTTCATGTAGAAATACAGAAATACAGGCACGCTAAATGTGATATAGTTTAAACTTTATTTACTTTCAAAGCGAGGAATTTAGTCAATATTCGAAGAAACCATTTTATGCTGCCGATAATGGATAAATATATATATTTTTTTAAAATCAATTATGTATCGGAGCGATATAGAGTGGAGGTCTGCTTTCCTACGGATCTCATCTTGATTCCAGAAATAAAAGAGTGTATAACTCTTCTACTAGTTTGTTTTATTGCTCGCACACGTCTTGACTATTGTAGTTCTCTCTTGTCAGATTTTCAACAACAATTCATAGTACACTGCTAAAAGTTTACAGCTCATTTTCTAGGTTAGTTCTAAAGGCAAAGAAACGTAATCCAGTCACTTCACTACTTTAGTCACTTCATTGGCTTCCTTTACAGGTACGCGTTGATTTAAAGCGGTCTGTTTTCTGTCACAAATTTTCATTTGGTTCCTGCCTTTTGCATATTACTCAACGTCCTTTGGTCTATTCACACCTTTGAGAGACTCGGTTCTCCGATCACATGCTTATTATTTCTGTTCCCGAGACGCACGCTTAATCACACGCTGAATGACCTTTCTTTTTCTGTGCCTCCATAAAATGGAATTCTTTCACATTATTCATCCGCAATATACCGACCATATTCTTCTGCGCATTCAATATCGTATATATTTCACTTGCTGTTCATACTAAATTGCACCAAAAAAAAATTCATTATGCGAAACAATTCCTTAAATTAATGTCTTAGCTGTTACACAGATATTAAATTTGCTATAGATAATTGGCATCTACCTAGATAATAAACAAGAAATACTTTAACATATCAGCCCCTTATAATTTCCAGGCAAACTCTTGGTCGGACCTAGCATTTTACATCATACAACAAAAAAAATTATAAAAATATTTACACCCACATAATGTACACCTTTAAATTATATACTAATTGATAATTATTAATATGAAATATAAGTTGGAAGATATGATAAGACATACATAAATTTCTAAGGAATTATATCTGTTTCATATAGACACATTTATCTATGAAAAACAAAATATGTACTAAAATACTTACATTAAGGTATTTGTATTATACCTTACTAACGTAATATATTAACTAAAATGGTTCGAAAATTAGTCCCTTAAGTATACCTCTTCGTTACGAATGTTGTCATGGAGTTGCTAGCAACAATCCAATATATACTGGGAATTCCCTTTCCTTATTTGCCTAATATTAAATGTAAAAGTTTCCGCTTTAAACTAATGGTTTAT